AACAATTTGCCTGGGCATTGGTTTAGATAAAACAAGCACATTGTTACTTTTAAATGTGACTGATAATCCTGCTAACACAATATTTAGTGCATTCCTTAAATTGATCCTTCAGTATTCCTTAAATTGATCAAGAATAGAAAACAAGATGTGTATGTCAAGGTGAGGAAAACCTGAACTTTAATGATGACAAAAATTGTTATAAGACAATCATAGTCAGCTTTTTGTAATGCACGACAGGAAGGTCACCCTGAAAGAACTAATTATTTTCCTGTTGTTATATATGATATTATATTATAAAATGTTACCTTCAGATATTCAATGATTTGGCATCTGCCGGTAATTTAGCAATCACTTGTGTTGGAAGTGTTTCAGTAGGAACCGTGAAAACAAGACTGTGAAGTCATTTAATCTAAACAGCAAATTACTCAAGAGTGTAAAAAAAAAGAATCAACGTAATCTGAAATTTAAGATGACTCACTTGTTACTCTAGAATAAATTACAGCTGGAGGAGGACTATAATACCAAGACAAATCCTGTGAGAAAGGTCAAAATAGAAAATAAAAATAGAAGTGACAGTAACACTGCAGACCACACCCTTGGCTAGGGTGGTCCCAAAGATCTATGCATAAAAAATACACAATGGCAACAGATCAAAGCACAATAAGCTTTATTCTAGAGTTAATTATCAGTTTTTTCAATAGCAAACTGTTTGGTATTTACAGTATTATACAGTATGTGTATGTGATTGAATGAACTAGTTGCTCTGCAAATGTTTATCATTTCATTGTTCTTTCGTGTGCGCATTGATCTAAAAGTTATTGATGAGTCAGAGAAAGTTCTAGTAGAGACCATTAACCACAGCCCCGTCTCTTGTTTTTTTATGTAGTTATGTAAGTGAACAAACATAACACAAAAACTTTCAGAAAAAGCTCCCTTCTCTCTACTACTAAACTTTTCAATCTATTTCCTACAAACCCCACCACCAATAATACTGTGCAAGCCCTTTTTATAATAAGCCTTAACTGACAATATACAGTACAGTAATAATCATCATCGGGTAACCCTACTTAGAATTGACAGAGGTCCTTTAGTGGCCTCTAGTGTGTGGTTGACTACTGCTGTCCTTTCATAGGACTCCAGTCACTTCATTTCTGAGAAATACGTTAAAGGTTTAGACTAGAGAGTCATTATAACAAAGAGCATAAAACAGATAAAAAGAGAAGGCTCCCCTAAGCCATATTATGGGAAATAAAATTGAAAAGCAAAAATGGGATATAACACAACAATACAATTATTGACAGAAATCAAATAGAGAGCAGAAGAGCTCATGGGGTCTAAAGGGGTCTAAAAAAGTCTATAAAAAGTGTTTAAATTCTCTGATGTGCGAAGGTAATCATATAAATAATTTCTCAAGAACGGTCTCTTAATAAAGATTGACATACCTTTGTTATCTTTATTGACAAGTGAATGCTTCGGGGCACACTCACCTAAAATTTACTGTATGATCTACAGTCAGTGAGCTAAAACTGCTGTTGCAAAGTCCTTGACACATCAATTGTAATGCTAGGATGAACACACAAGCTGCAGCAGAATTTCAATTCAGAAGCATGCATGACAAACACCAAGCAAGTGCAGGCTATCTGTGTTTGAGCAAAGATGTATTCCTGGACAGACCAAAATAATGACACAAAGGAAGGACTGATAAGTCCTTTGCATACTGGTAAACAGTGGCAACTACAGAGTAATGTACTACATCTTACCCAAGGCACAAGAGCCTTTATGTGCCTGTGCACATCCTGAGGAAGTTATTTGTCTTCCACAAAATACAAACTGACATAAACTGATCCATGATAAGATATGGAGTAGTCCACAGCATTCACAGTATGTATCATTTCCTATTATCATCCGGGGAGCCATTTACGTTAGTATCACATAAGCCAATTAGTGAAACATTCCCCTACCTTAAAACCTGTGTTTGTACATTAAACAGAAGATTAAACTGCTGATCAACAAAACCAAGTCACAGTGCTCAAATAAGCAAAAAATGTCACAATAAGTATTTTCTCTTCATGACGTCGAATTCTATTCTAAATTTAACGTCAGTGATAAGTTTCTTGTGTTGAAAGGAGACATACAAATTTGAACAAAAATATAGAATGGATGCTTGGGTTATACAGGTGAAGATATATACTTTTTATATTATGTATTGCAAAAAGTAACATACAGGTATATTAAAATGTTATTTTGCTTTTTGTCCTTTTAGTGCTGTTGGTGGATTAGATGGATGCTTCATAAAATTGCAAAAATAAAGTACCCTTCAAAAATATTTACTCCCTTCCAATGCTGTCCATTTGATGAATTGCATATGATGTATACATATATTTAAAAGTTAATATTTTTATTCAATGCTTGAATGCTCAGATTGAACAATTATATGGGTGAAAGAAGTAGAATATCAGGAAGACAACTAAAGAAAAATCTAAAAATGAAAAACTAAAATGATTAAGTATTCACTGCCCTGAATCAATACTTGTTGGAAGCACCTTTGGTAGCAATTACAGTCACAAATCTTTTTACATAAGTTTCTACCAGCCTTGCACACTGAGATGATGCTATTTTCACCCATTCCTATTTGCAAACTTGCTCAAGCTCTGTTAGGTTGGTTGGAGTATTAGGTTGCTTATTGATGAACAATAATTTTCATAATTTACTTATCCTAGATTTACTAACAGATTCAAGTCAGGATTTTGACCTGGTCACTCAAGGGCATTCACTTTCATCTTGTTAAGCCACTACACATTGAGTCTGGTCTTGTGCTTTGAAGTATTGTGTTGCTGAATGGTTCATTTTAATCCCAATTTAATGTTTTGCATTTAGACTAAAATGTTCAAGTTTTGTATGTTTCTGTATCACTTAAATCACCCTCCACTTCCCAGGATATTTAAACCATCACTACCCTCAGGTTGGTACTCAGTATTAAAAGTTATACTCCTTTTCTAGGAGCTCCTACTGTACCTTTGGTGAGAAATTCTCTTCCCAACTGAACCTTTGGCCTTCGATACATGACCTTTGTCCCTCGACTTCAACCCAGTGTCTTGGAAAAATAGCCATCGATCTGACAGAACCTCTGGCCTTTGATATTTCCCTTTCGTCCCTCGACTTCGACTTCAGCCCAGCGTCTAGCATAAGTAGCCATCGATCTCCTCTCCCTTTTACCCTTTTCTCCAGCCCTCTGGAAACTCTCAGAATAACACACAGGGTCCTTCCTCCCCCTCGTGGACACAGCACTCGTAACAAATATGTTCTTGTTTTTTTTCAACACTATGCCATACAGACCTGCTTTGTGGAATAATGGGGATATTGTTGACCCAAGGACATTTTCTCCTATCTCAACCATTGAATTATGCTGCTCTTTCAAAGATGTGGCATCCCTGACCAGTGTTTTCCTTGCCCAACTCCTCAGCGGATATTGCTCAATTCAGACTGGTGTGCTTAAAAGTACTGTATATTCAATGTCTTTGGATTTTTTTAGGCCCTCCAGTAGATTGGTATCTATATACAACTTCATCCCTGGCTTGTGTTGTAAGCTCCTTGGTCTTCATACTGTAGTTGAATCTTTGTTTGAAATTCACATTTCTGGCTGTGAAATGTGACAACCTGACAAACGTCACAAAGACAAGTGTATTTATTCTGGAATCATGTGAAGCGCTATTATTCTACACAGAGGCCATCCAACTAATAGCATAAATTGTGAAAGTTTTTTAAAACTTGTAAACTAATTTAGATTTACCATAGTAAAAGTGGATACTTATGCAATCAACATATTTAGTTGTTGATGTCATTTCACAGTTGTTGCTTTCACCCACTGAAAGTGTGAGCACTGAAGTTTGGATTAAAAATCATCACTTTTAAAAACCTTGCATCGTTTGCAATTCAAAGAGAATACTTTTGCAAGCGACTGTAAATATAAAACCAAAGCTGTATTTAAACCATATAATATATATTTTTTTAATAAATGTTGAAATATATTCCTGACACTTTTGATGAAGAAAATTACAAATAATTATGCAATTATGTAATTGCAGTTCTTGGAGGAAAATGTTCAAGTAAAAGTATTTGACAAAAATAATGTCCAAGTGTCTTGACTTTTTTTTAAAGTAACAGTGCAAAATACGTATTCTTATTTGTCTGCCGTTAGGAAAGTCAGTAATAGTTCAAATGAATGCATAAATACTTCAAATACAGTATGTACCAATACAACTAAGAGTAGGTGTTATTGTCAAATTAGAATAATTTCCAAAACAATGTTTTTGACACTGAATGACTATGTTTCAGAAACAAGGTGTCTATAATTACATCTATGAAATATAGTATGTATCTCAGAAGAAAAATATTCTTATGAACAGTTTATTTTTCTTACTATTTAATTTAAGTCTTAAAGCAAACTCATTTTAAAAACATTAATGCTGCTGACTGAATGTAATGGATATACAAAATATAGTACTGGGTCACATACTTTTCCATCATTACTCTAAAATCAGATAATGAGAAGATAGAGAATGGAACATACGCAACAAAGAAAAACGCTTTTAACTAAAGTATTTTCATCCATTCTGAAAAAATGTACTGGTAACTATAGAAAAGATTCTCAACACCCATTGTAAAAGTATTGCAGCTTTTGAATAATGCTAGAAAGTGTCATTAAAGAACCGTATCTGAAATATTGCTACTAAGCACTAGTATTACTAAGCATAATTACAGTTACTTTTATTATAAACCTACTGTATGAGAACGTTTACATTATACTATATACAACATGTTTGTAACATTGAGTTTGTTTGTAAAAAGCCTTTATTTTATATTTTGTGTAATCTCTTTTAAGGATTTTTCTTGCTTTGCTGTGACTTGTTTTTTGACATGTTTTTTGACTTCCCTATGCTAGTTTTACAAGTATTATATTTAGCAAGCTAAAAGTGGCACAAGAAAAAAGAATCTTTTACCTGAAGCAACACACAAGGGGAAAATTAGAAGAAGACAGGGATTTCCAAAAGACCTCATGGTTCCAGATGGTGCTGTCCCGAAGAGCTCAGTGAATCAAATGCTTCTTTATCACTAATGCACAGCCTAATTAGCAAGTGGAAAAGGTGTACACTGGCAAGCTCACAGCTGCTTATTTCAGGACTTCCGTAGATAAAGAACAGGAGGAAATACGTATTCTACCACTGGGAAGCCAGTGAGTGGGAGAATTCTTTAAACTGTTTACAGGAACTTCATTTTAAAACGAAGTTGGTCGCCAATGTTCAGTGTTCAAAAATGTTATTCTTCCTGCCTAGTTTTGTGTCAGTTGGCTTGAGTGTAATGATTTTCATTTATGAACACAGAGCTGAACTATCTTTGCCATCATTATCATTATCCATAATTATCCCATTTTGCTACTTTTCACAAAAGAATGTGAATACATTCTTTGATTTACTGTAGTTACTGCAGCTAGGAATCTTATCTGTAGTTGTAAATGCATGGTCTCTTCCTTTCCACTTGTGTCATCAGGTTCTTGTTTCACTATTGGTCCTGAAATATTCTTCTAGGTTGATGTTGTCAATACATGAACATTTCAGATGTTATAATAGGTAATCTACAGATAAGACTTTCTTTTCTGCAGATAAGATTTTCTTATTATTTATGTCAACTATTCTGGACAAGAATATTGCTTGATCGAGCCTAGTACCATTGTTAAATGATGACTCCAATACTGGTCTTTCACAACAGTAGAAACAGACCTGGCTGACATAGAGAGAAAAATAAGTCAGGACTTGTTCATGTAAATGTTACCATTACTTCCTCTGTACACTTGTTAAAAGATATGCTGTACAGTATGTCTCTTAAATATCTATTTGTCTCTCTTTTTAAGGAATTTCTTTTCATTTAATTAATATGTATTATTACAATTTATATCATTAGCAGATGCCCTTATCTAAGGCAATTTCCAAAAATATCCAATAATACCTAAAATAAAAATACAATTAAAGAATATATATAAATACGTATACATGTGTATAAGATACAAATGATATAAAAAGCTGTGCAGCACAAAGTCAAGGGAAACCTTTGTTAAGTAAGCAGTAAGCAATGCATGGGTAAGAAATCAATGATCAGAAGGAATGCCTTTGAGCAGAGTGCAGGTTAGTTGTGGTAAAATCTCAGGGACTGTCAGAGGCTAGGCAGCTCTGTTTCAATGTGCAGTTCATTGCACCACTGTGAGGCTAGGAAGGAGAATGACCAGGCCCTGGAGGAGGGGGAGGAGAGAGGAGGACTAGCAGAGGAGGTCTAGTTGAGAAGTTGGTAGGGGATACAGGGATAAGCAGCAGAGTACTGAGAGCTGGAGAGGGGGAATAGTACTGGCAAAAAGGCCAGTCAATTAGGAGCTGCAATAGTTCAGATGGAAGATCACCAGGACCTAAACTGTCGTATAGAGGTGTTGGTGAGGAAGGGGTGGATCCAGTGGATATTGCTCAAGAAGAAGTAGCAGGAACAGACATAGAGTAGAAATGTGATGGGGAAAAGGAGAGGATCAAGAATGACACCAAGCTTCTTGGCAGAGAAATTGCAGAAAAATTGCATAGATGTGTTATATAAGCTGTGGGAGGAGATGAGAGGTCCTATGAAGTGGGTGTAAAGAAATGCATTTTATGTGATGTATGCAAATATGTGATTTATGCCAGTAACGCTCTTTGAATTTTAATTTAATAGAAGAGGGCCCAGCATAGAGTCTTGGGGGACACCAGTGCAGCTTGAGATTATATGTTACATCATCAGAAATGCATACTATACAGTATGTTGTCTTCCTAAGTACAGTATATAACTACCTGATTAGGTCTGATGAAGTATTTTCACCCTAGCTTGACCTATATCTTCATTACAAAAAACATTTTCTTAAATCACTGTTTTCACACTTTTTTTGAATAGTTTTCTGGCAAAACTTCTGAAATATGTGTAATTATTCTATTATAACAAACACCAATTTGGTCTATTTGTTTTTAATATCTAAATATTAAAAGCAGGTCCAGATGTTTTTTGAAAGTCTTGTGAACCTTGAAAATCTTGAAGATTAGAAAGACGAAAAAGTAATAATAAAATGTGACTGGTAACGTGTGAAATCTTCTTGAATTTCTCTGCCAGAGAAACACTGTTACAGAACTCTTGGAATTCCATTGTTTGTAATCTGAAGAGTAGATGCAGCTGAGATAAAAGATAATGCGATCATATAACATCTTTACTGCAGTCTAAATTTGCTACTTCTATTGTTGATCTTTTTTCCTGTCACCATACACCATTAGCTATGAAGTTATACTTTTTATTGAAAAACCTGTCCCTGATTTCTTGATGACCCTTCCTGTCCTTAATTAACCTAGCAAGGAATCATTTCAGATCTAAATACCACATTGTTTGCTTTCAGACAGTTTCCTATCTGACCTATTGTGAAAGACTGATAACCTGAAACACCTCACAAAACATTCAAGATTACAAACCACCATGGCCATTGTTCTTTGCCTTTGTGGAAAAAAAAACATCTTACACATTTTGAAGAAAGTTGGCAGTTGAAGTAAGATCATAACTAACATGCATATGGAGTTATTTGCTGTGTACTTTAGTGTTTTGTTATAGTCTGTAATGCCTATGGCATGCTGATTGCACCACAGATTTTGCATGACTGATGACTAACTCTTTAGTGAAACAGATACAGATACTGTGCTCAATTTTCTCCAACTTAGGACCTAAATGTGCACTAGATACTATCTAGCATCCAAAGCCAGTAGCCTCTGGACTAGCTATATTGTCACGCCCTCTACATCTAGAGGGCGCTCCTACTCCTAGAGGTGGATGCTGAACATCTGTGGTGGTGGAGAGAGTCCCCATTACCTCTAAAGTGATTTGAGTGGAGTGGCCAGAAAAGCACTTTATAAGTGTAAGCAATTATCATTATTACTCTGTCCTGTCCCTAGTTTCCTGTGCTTTGCTCGTCCTTCCAGTGTGTCTCTGTCTGGGTATATTTCCAGGTCACGCTTTCCTCCTCGCTCAGCATTGAGGTTCGGACGTCCTGAGACCCGCCTAGCACCAGGTCGCCCCACGTCCGTGGCCTGAGGGCCTAGGTTTCTATATGACATTTCCTGAACAGCTGAGCCCGGGCTAACCTCCATCTCGCTGCTACTCATAGGGTCTTTTTTCGCTCTCCTGCTATTCCATGTTTCGTCCCTTCCAACATCCGTGACAACTATTGGACTACACTTATCTTTCATTAAAAGAGTACTTTACTAACTTTACAAGTACTCGGTAAAATGAGCAATACTGTGCATATTCATACCTATTTTGTTAGGCAAGTATAGTTTCCCCCACTAACGCAAACTACGAATTCTTCCATTTTTAGCTGTTCCTCCTTTCGGTTGTTGTCATCGGCTCTCATGATGATACCTGTTTCTCCTGTGATGTCACACTCTCCCATGATGCTCTTCAGTGCTTTAAACATCATCATTATTTTGTTAAACATGGGTCCAAAACGGAACGCAAGTAATTCACTTAGTGATAAATTAAAGTGAGAAGGTCAATAAGTGTAGCTCAGAAACTAGATATTATAGAGCGTGTTGAAAAATGTGATTGTAGCAGGGAAACATTTTGGTGAATGTTAAATTTCTGTTCTAACTTATTTAATAACCTAATATGTAAATTAGGGTTCTAATATGAAAATAGGTTCCACTACATAGATTTTGAATTTCTTAATTTAATCCTGCACACCGTGAATGTGCAGTCTTAATGTCACTAAACATCAGAACTACTGCAGTCTCTTAGATCAAATATAATATCGATTCATTAATTTTAACATTTTATACAATGAAATTCTTACTATCAGCTTGATGCTCGATCTTATTTTTACAGTTGTGGGTTTTATTCTGTCTTTATGATCTAACATAATATATTTTTGTTTTAGTGTGAAATTGTATTTCTCCACATAACTGCTTCATAATACATTTCAACATAACTTTTAATCACAAGGACTTAATCATAAACTTGCAGAAAAAAAGAAGTGTTGGTAAATTGTACTTGTTGAAACATATACAGTACAGTTCAAACCATTTACGTTAAAATGGACAGTGCATTTAAAGTAATAACTTTAATACTTTTTATTCAAGTCTGGCTTCCAAGAGCTTTCTTAAGTAATATTTTTAAAATGTTGTATCCACTATACTGTTGTATTTTTTTTTGCCTAAAAAAAGAGAACCATCACTTGTGAGAACACAGTACGTGCAGTGTGATAACATGTGAGGTGATAAAGTGGAGCAAAATCGTGATACTTTGAATCGTGAGTGCAGGTTAGTTGAACCAAAGTGGTCAAGATTAAAGTTTGACTGCCTCATTTTTTTTAAATTTCATGTCAAAGAATTAAGTGTTCTGATCACCCTAAAACTCTAATCCTGTACCTGTTTGAAAGTCAGACTTTTGAAAAGTTAATTGCAATAAAAATGAAATAAAAATATTCTATTAAATAAAACTACTCAGCACTTCCTCTTCCTTGCACTGTTACAGTATGCCCACACAAGTAAGTCATGTGCTGACAAGCATTTAAATAAGGACAGATATGAAAAGGCAAAATGGGAGGTAATGACAAACTTGGTCTCGATAGGAAAACCAGCTGACTATTCTTTATTTATAACGCTGTGAATAATTAAATGTTTTTCATTTTGAGTTTGCCAAGGTATTTTCAATGCAGAAATACAGATGAGGAAACTGTTGGCTCAAAAAGATGTGGTGGTCATAGGGATTGTGTAGTGACTCTCTGCCTGCCAGGACATACAGTATACTGTAATTCACTGAGTCTGTTTTTTTCTTTCCAAATTATTGAAACAGCTCACTTTATTCATCGGGCATCTGTTCTCATAGACAGCAAAAATGGTCACATATGTCCTTGTGTTAATTAAAATCACGTTAATTCATTTTGGCAATCCTAACTAAAATCACAAAGGAAACTGGGTGGACTTATATTTTTATCCTTGTAAATGAAACTACTCAAGCATACAACAAACTGCTCTGATCAGTGTTTAAAATGAATAATTTAGAAATTGATGTAAAACTTTTCATAATGTTTC